ATATATATATATATATATATATATATACGACTATATACTATCATATGGGGAAACCTTAACAATGGAGAGGGTTAGAAACAATACTGCCACTAAGGGGACATTTTAACGATGTTAAGGCGAAATATAGCCAAAGGCTTTTTTGCCCGTAATAATTATTATAATTTGTTTAATGATCTATCTATATATGATACTCATAAATTCTTACTGGTAATTAATTCCTCACAGGTTTTGGTAGCGGACCTCTTAGTTCTTTCCAATCCTTCTATGTGACAATAGCAGCATTCAATAAAGTCGGATTGTCAACAACAGCATTCTCTGATGAGATCAAGGTTGATAGTTCTCCACCAATCCCAGGGCTTGTTATAGAACTTTGTGACGTTAGCGTTTTATCACATAATGGATCTGAGGATTCAATTAGTACGTCTGCACAATATATTTGTGATGATGAGAATGACGATGAAGGTAATCATTCCTTTTTCCTTTTACCCGTTTGATTTTGTTACATAGATACATTTGTCTCATTTCTGAAAATTAAATCTTCAGATTGTCAGAGACAAGACGCTGTATGTCAGACATCGCTCACTACGGTTGCAGTTGCTTGGCAACCATTTATTGAACCAGAGTCATACATTACAAGGTAAACCACACATTATTTGAAATAATTTTGATTTTTATACTGTTTTACTGTAGTTCTAAATATATGTCAATAATAGACGTAGATGCGTGTACAAGTATAAATTTCCAAATACTTGTCGATACAATAATATTGAAAGAACAGTGGCAGATAATAGATGTTCCTGCTGAGAACTTACGTTTGCCCAAATCACAAATGAACTCTAACCTGTAATGGAATAATTAAATGGATTTATTTTTCCAGTTATGAAATTGCCATAGGAAGTGAGATGGGAAAAGCGGATATCTCAAATTTTCAATTGGTCTCGCCATATATAACTCACTATGAAATCACTGGTTTAGACCTAAGTGAAGTTCGACAGGTAATTACTGTGTATCTAGGTTGCACATTATCATCATTGATAGAAAATTTAATTCAGGTGTTTTTTGTGATAAATATTTCAAAATATAAAACAAACTAGGGTCTGCAAACCCTTGACTCTTATTTGAATATTACAAAAGAAATGGCTTTTCCTGAAAATAACATATGAAAGATACATAGTGTAAAACAGTAAAGTATGGAATGATTTAGTTATGTACATTAATGATCATACACCACAAATCCTTAAACAGAAAGACTCATTTTGTCAAAGTGAAATTAAGACTTATAGCATGATATATATTGTTCAATGATAATATTATCTTTTTTAAGGTCTTCGTAATGCTTAAGGGAACAAATGCTGCTGAACTGTCTGCCGTTGCTATGTCAAATGGTGTCTTCATAAGTCGCGTTTCTAGTGGACTTGAGCCTCTCGGAAACCCGATAGTTAACGACGGAAATTCAACAGCTGAAGACATGTAAGAAACTTAATATAAATGTAGAGTTATAATTTAAGTAGCGTTTAAGTACATTTCATTGACAGTGTCTATACGTTATTCTGTTCAACTTATTGTAAATCTAGAATATTGGTTTGTATTGTTTTTCATCAAGGAGGTGTTAAGCTTAGATTAGTTTTATTTAACTATACCTTATCACCTTTTGTCAATTATTATTACGATGTTATTATTATAAATATTGTTGTTGACAATAAAGTTGAACTACTACTACTAATTACTATGTGTTTAGGCTAAAATGACTGCAAATCCTATGTATGTTTTAAATTATTAATACTAATTTTTTTATATTCTAATCACTTATATATTTAGTGACTTCCAAACGGATGCTTACGAACTCAGAGCCACATGGAACTTCAATGGTGATCCTTGCCCAATTATAAAATATGAATGGGCTATTACAAGGATAGATGGGGTGGTGATACAAGACTTTAAATATGTTTCAAGTAAGCATATTGAAAGAAGATATTCTGAATGACATGAAAATGTTTTGCATTGTGCTGCCAATTTTGTCTTAAGTATTATTGAAGCTAATAATGCAATAATTAATTGCGTACCATATATATAAACACTATAGATGATATTCTCATGAAATCATGGCGGCGAAACATTGTTACTGCCTCGGCGTTCTATGACACAGGCTCTTGTTGTATGGGCCCATGGAATGGAAGTGACATAATCATATGGCATCTTTTATTGTTAAGTTTTCGTAGCATCTGGTATGATCTGATTTACATAACGTTTCTATTTGTTTTTAGCCAAATTATTGGCAATGAAAGATGATATGAACATGCTAGATGGAGAGACATACTACAGCACTGTGCGTGCTACCAACGCACTAGGCTATGTACAAACGATTAGGACAGACGGCTTGACCCTTCGCTTACAACCGATACTACCAGGCCGTGTGTACGATGGTAGCGTGATCGGATTTGATTTAAATGAGCAAGCATCCATTACAACTCTTTCAGCCAATTGGGATGGCTTTGGTGGTGAGGATCAGGACAATGATGTCATTATCCAAAATGGTAAATATTCATATTACATATTTTAAAATAGTTCATGGTAATTTTATCAATGGTTTATATAAATTTATTGTTAACAATATCATTCTGTTATTTTTAGGTTATATTAGCAGTTCAAAGCAACTAATTGAATATTACACCATTGCTATTGGAACCGATCGCCGATATCCTAAGACACGAGACAATATTGTGCCGTTTACAAACGTGAAGTTGAACACCGTCTGGACTTTTACTGAATTAGAATTAGTACCAGAAGCGGCGATATACTACGCCACTGTTCGCGCTTATGGTGGCAAGCTGGCATTTGCCGAAGTTACATCAAATGGCATCCGTGTTGGAAATGGTCTTGGAGTTAAAGGTGACAATTCCAGAATTATAATTCAATAAAAGCTAAATTAATCGAGGGAAATATTTCTGAAAATATTAGACCACTAAAAATGCATTTAATTTCAGACATTTAATCACATTAACTAATTATTTTATTTTGTTGTTATGTATTATAGGTGGTGAACTCGAAACTAAGAATTTTATCAATCAAGTTTCTGAAGTATCATTTTCTTGGTCCAACTTCCGGTCAGAGCAGCCTATGTTTTTCTACATGTACGGGATTTCAAGTGATCAGAATTCCACAGTAGTTGAATGTGACATATTTCAAGAGGTTCGGTATATTATTATAATTTTTTTAATGAAATCTAACTTAATGGATTTCTGGCATTGACAAGTGGCTGGAAATGTATTGAAAACATAAATGACAATATTATACATGAGATTAAAGATGTAAATCGCTGCTTTCGACAATGTAATACATTTAGGCTCTTTTTTAAGCTCTGGGAAGAGGCTAAATCTATGTTAAAGAGTGATAGCTAATCGTGACAGTAATATAATATTACCATGGCACAGCTTCCTATTTCCATGGTTGTATCACATTTTTATAACTTGTATCACAACAATTTTTAGATGACTAATGGTAAATGTACAACTGATGCATGTACAAAGGTAGAATCCTTGTTTGATATTGTTAGTATTACCAACGCCGGAAAAAACACGTATGCTGAATCAACTTCTCTTCATTTGGAACATGACAGCACTTACTACACCGTTGTTTTTGGTAAGTATTAATTCAGTATAAACTGTATCAAAATGTGAATAATTGTTCACTACAATTCTAAACTTAATTTATAAACGTCTTCTGAGGTGAAAGCTTCAAATGTTTATTGAGGTCTTATCTAAGTGGAGGAGTTGGCAGCCAGGGACCTGCCTGATGGCAGAACACAATAGGAGAAGGTCTATACCAAAGGTAAACCTCCAGACACCATCCCTGATTTACAAAAATAGTCAGGAATTAAGTGCTGACACAAATTTTATATGTAATGATGCACTAGACTAAGATATTTTTAATCAATAATTATTTTAAATATTTCATAGGAACCGACGAAGCTGGACAATGTAACAAAACCAGTGAACATTTCAAAGTTGACTTGACAAAGCCTGTTGAAGGAAAAATGAGACTTGAAAACAACCCACATGTTCCCGTTGATTTTGTAAGTAGTTTATTGATAATATTAAAACCCAATAAAATATATAATTTGAAAAAATAGGAATCATGGTATTAATACGTGGACCTAGATCAAGAACTTCTATAGAACCTTAAAATAGTGTAAATTACTTTACCTTTAATATACTTGCTGCATAAATTATTATTTTGACAATTAAATCAAACTGTCAAATAATCTTCACTATTTTTCGTTTGTAATTTTCATTAAAATAACAATTTAATTTAAGACATTTGTGTCAGAATTATAACCAACTCTGTCTATTTTACTAAATAGCCTGTTTGGTTTACCGCTGATTCGACAATGTTAACAATTCACTGGAGTGAATTTGAAGATCCAGAAAGTCAGATTGACTATTATGAGATTGAACTATTGGTGGCACCGTCTTGCAAGGCTGGCGATGAAGAAGTATTAACAACAGTTGTGGAGGCAGTTAAATTGGAAGCGTCCTATACTAGTTACAATTTTTATCATCTAAATCTGCAGGTTAGAAAAATAATAATACAGAATACAGAACTGCAGTACAGTTGATTAGAATAACGGTTTAGTTAATTAACTACTAGAAGATTAACAGCATATTAAGAACCTATATTATTATTATTATTTTAATAATAACAATTTATTAAAGTACGTTATTTCATTTTATTCCCAGCCACTGAGTCCATATTACGTTAAACTGACAGCAACCAATAGGGCAGGCTCATCTGTAAACATTTTATCGTCTCCAATAATTTTTGACGATTCCAGACCAACCGCAGGCCTAGTGGTTGATGGTCTCGATTTTCTGAACGACAAATCACACAGCAGCTTCGTTGATCACATGCCAGGTAACTTTGAAAATATTTTATTGGAATATTTAATGAATAGGCCTATATAAGTTTAGACTGTAATTGATTTGAATTGTTTATTTTTATTACTCTTCCACTTGCTCCCCTACCTCTCTGTCTTTTCAGGTTCTTTCATCTTTCTACCGGACCCAAACATCGAAGCATGTCCCGATGAGTACGCACCATTTGATGACGATTTATGGAAAATAATTGAAAGTAAAAGCATTTGGAATATGGATGGAAATGATTGGAAAATTATTTACAATATAGAACAGGTTTGATTTAAATGATATATTAAAGGCCACGTTGACATTATAAGTAATTACATACCAAATATAAACTGCTCGCGTTGTGTGCATATACTCTATAAAAAGAGCATATTAACAGTATTGAAAGATCAAACTCCTCATAGATAAAGACGGTATCACCGATTTGCATGATGGGTACACTGTATTAACCTAAGTTTATCTCCCGCATTAAGTACATTGTCATTATTTGAAAGAAATTGGCGCTGTGTACGTCTGGAGATGCGTAAAAAGTATGACTCAGAATTCTTTACTGTTACTGCTACGTCCTTTATTTTAGGTCAAAGTGACCAATTCTGTTAATATTACACTGAAGATGGAAACTGATATACAGAAGGAAGACGTGTTATCTGGTGCTGTGTACAGGCATGTTGACATTGGTAAAGGTGGAACATTTAAGGTTTGTTGAAAGTTTACTTTTCTTACCTGGCTTTATTGAAATTTAATACCAATCAGTGAATAAATAACTACCGATGAGAGAAAAAAGGGTAGATTTTAGTTTGGTATAACCAGGTTGGTAAATGGGTAGCATTTACTTACATTTTGAATAATCAATGTATAGGAAACACTGTTTTTGAACTAGTTTATTATATATCCAAAATACTCGTATGTCATCAAGGCTAATTAACAGCCTATTCGAATGTTTAATAATGTTACTAAATACAAACGGATTTCGTTTACATTCTGGGCATATAGATGGATATAAAAGCTGCTCCTCAAAATATACCTGCCATCACAAGTGTGGTATTTTGGGATGGTCCTGACGGTGTCGTTGGCGATTTCATTGTTCCAACAGTAGAAGAGGAACCGTGTTCATGTTGCTATGAAGAAAGTAATGGGGTATGTGCAATAACTATAATATAAACAAACAAAACAAGATGACTTTTAATATAAAAATTTTATTGAAAATATCATTTTTCTCATTAAGACTAATTGCGACTGTGATTGTTCAATGGTTGGAGTTACCACCACAACACGCAAAATAACAACTTTAAAAGCAACGACAGTTCCGTGGGAGATAGTCAAAGATGATGGGAGTGACGGTGGTGAGGATCACAAAAAACAGACGGATGTTGAACAAGCATGTGGCCTTCAGTTGTATGCTGGTAAGGCAGTGGCTTTAAACAAGGGTGGTGCCAGGATTTGGCCTAAAGGGTGCTCATGTTCTCAACAGGGGCCAATGTCTCCAATGAGAGCAAAAATAGGCAAATTTCATAGATTTTTCCTGACGAATTGTGTTTTTTTCTTGCTGGTGGGAGCTCTATCCCAATACACGCCACTATTAGCTTAAAAGGCAATTACCACTTTAAATAAATCGATGACTTTACCATCATGAATACATTTTGTTCGTCATTGGTTAACACATTTGCGTCAATTTTATTTTCTTTATTTAATCATATTTAATGATGGAGACCCTTCCACCTTATTCAAGAGGGTCGGCTGATATTCAGGGGTTAAGTGAAATAACATGATGCCTTTATCAGCCAAGTCCCTTTATGAGGCTTAGGGAGTGGATTTGTTTTTAGTCGTGAAAAAAAGTCCTGCTGTCAAAGATATTGAACGCATTACCCTGGGATTAAAAGGTGAGCATCTTAACCGCAAAGCCATTCAAGTACACTTTTCTTCTAATTACAGAGGCAGAATTGTCATCAGCAACATTATGGTGTAGATTTTACCAGGATGAAATGGATATTTTGTACAACATCTATGACTTATCTTTTGATCCGTCCAAAGACTGGCATCATTATGAATTTACCTTCAAAGAAGAATATAATGCTGATCCAACAAAGGTACTGTACATGTGTTTCAGTGGCAGATCCAGGAATTTGAAATACTGTAGAGGGGCCGCCCTGGAATGGACTTTTATAGATGGCGGGTGTAGACTACCTTGGGGCATCGGCAAATTTTTTGATTATGGCACCTCTCCAGATGACCGGAAAGGGCATTCTCAGACTTAAATTTAAATTGAATTTTCATTTTTTTCTTTTCTTTTTTATTTTAAAAAATGTGCTGGTTGGAAGGTTGGGGATTTTGCCTTTTCTCCACTGTAATTTTCTAATGATAAGCAGGAAGCTTGTATACATTTTCATGAAACTTTAAATTATTCAGATTGGCTTCACGTTTCAACTGTCTGTGGATGGAAATCCTCTCGGAGATTTATCTGGTGTACCACGTTTGTCCAACAACACAAAGCTGACCTTGCAACTATGGAACGATGAAAACTATGTTCCCGAGTTTACTGATCCGTTCGATATTCCGACAACTTCGGCAGAGTTTGCAAATATTAGGTAAATGTTTTAAAAATGTAATCGCATAATGATTGGTCTTCTTGATCTTACTATTTGATTTGTGTACACTTTAAAATAATTTTAAAAAACAACACTTAACTATAGTAATAAAATACTTTTGCTTTCTAGACTTCCTCCTCCAAGTGAAAACCTTTGTCGTTATGGCAACCCATATAGAGGCGGTATTGCTCCAACTGTAAAGTTTCTTGCTGGTATTGGTACCGAACCAAATATTATTGATGTACATGAAGAAGTTGAGGTAAATGATCTGACAATATGCCAACTTTTTTTATTCTGTGATTTTAGGCATATTTTCCACAATTTTGCCGATACAATGTTGTGCAACAATATGGCGAATTATGAAGCTGTTCATATTTTAATTTTTCAGGTTTTTGATCCATGCTATCCATGTCACCATGAATGCCATCGGTATTTTTGCGACCCACTTTGCCGTGCAGATGAAACATATCTTGGACAGTTTACCATTGATCATTTGGAGCTTGAGGAGATGCGATGGTACACTGATTCAAATGGGACTGATGAATATCTTCCAGCAATTTACTTTCTACGAGGTATAGTGTGGTTTGAATATTCATATATATGTACATATAACAACAAATTTTGAAAATTTATTGAAACAAATTTTAATTTATTGTCTGTAGTTGAAGAAATTTTAGCAAATGGTATGTCGACAAACTATTCTTCTGACGGTGTTACCATTGATACAACGCCACCAGAGCTTGAATACATGAGTTACTATGATGTGAACCTTGACGAAAATCAACCTGTGTCTGCCCAATCTTCAAACTCTACCATCAAAGCATCATGGGACTTTCTAGACCAAGAAAGTCTAGTTGTGGTATGACATCATTTTCTTGTAATACAAATACTAAAATATATAGTGGAAAATTGTATACGATTTATTCTGTGAATTTTTGTCAGTTAACTTGTATAATAACATAGGATTTTTTTTATTATTATTTTAAATTGTAATTATGAATTTGCAGGAATATTATTGGGCCATCGGTACAACTCCTGGAGGAACAGACCTGCAGAAATTTGTTTACCTCGGGAATGTAAAGGAAGGAACAAATACTGATTTAGAAGGCAATTTACATAATCGTGAATGGTACTATGTAACGGTAAAAGCTGTCAATGGAGCAGGCCTTGTAAAAGTGCAAGAATTCCACGGTAATTTGAGTTATATTAACATAAATCTAAGATTATACCGTCGATTGCAGTTATGGTATTGCTCAACGACTGTAAGATCTAGGATGCAATTATGCCCTTTTCTAAAGTCACGTGGGTTCGAGTCCCACCCGAGAACAACTTGCGATTTTTTTCGCAGTTGTTTTCAAATGTACTGAGTATTTGGTACATTTCCATGTCAGGTAGGGCAAAAATTACACCTATACATGTTTCTCCTGACGCAAATCCAGTTATTGTCTATTATTCCATCACAACAATAACAATTACTATATAGTCACGTCATCGTGCAAGTCAAAAGCTCCCTATAATACTGGAAATAAAAGAATGCTTATATTTTCAACATAGGTGTCTTGGTTGTTTTTGATCATCCAAATGTTGACGACGTTGAAGAGTATCAAATGTATGTACAAAGCGTAAATAACCATCCTGCTTATGTCAGCTCTGAACAATCAAAACTTGGTTTGAGTTGGACATCAGCAGGCGACATATCAGTTGCTGAATATCGTAAGTAGTCTGTGGATTTGTATCTCTATATGCTGCTGTGATAAAACAAACTATAGTATCAACCACGTTTACTTTATATTGTAGATTCTCAAACAATGGTTATTGCATTAGGCCTAGGTTTTATTTATTTATTTATATGATGTATATATCTATTATATACTAAATAGTTTTAAGCGCTTATATTGTTATTTATTTATATGTATAAAGCCTTGTCCCCACTATTGAATACTATGTGACAAATAAATGTGATATGCCCATATTTAGATATTAAATATTAAATTATGATGCCCATAAGGGCATATCACAAAATTTGTTAGGGTGGACAGAGCTTTATACATATTATACTGTAGGTCTTGTTGTGGTTGTGCTCATCGTACCCTTTACTGATAATTTCTCACCATAGGATACTGTGTTGGTAGCTCTGTTGATAAAGCTGATGACATCATACCGTGTATCACAATGTCCAATGACGGAGGTGCGTCAGTTGAAATTTATGATGGACAAATTTTTATTGACGGTGAGGTCTACAGTGGCATAAGTGATTTCAGAACACCAAACGAAGATGGAACAATTCCAGGAAATAACAGATTATTCCTGGAACCAGGAAAGTAAGAAATCTATTCAAAGTACTAGTAGTCATAATTTCGAATTACAGAAGAACCCTCCTCCTACAGTAAGAACCCTCCTCCTACAGAAGAAGCCCTATTTAAGGGGACACTTTTTTTGGACATGGAGCGAGGGAAATTTTATGTTTTAACAATATGGCCAACCACCCCTATTAATAGGGCACTCTTTTGTCACGAAGGTGTCTCGTTGATATAGGTTCAGTGAAATAATATAATATTCGGTGTTGCAACAAATAAGGCACAAAGTCAATATATTATTTCAGACTTAATTTGTAAAATTTACTTTGGCTTTTAACTGTGCATAATTACGTTAACCTAAACTTATCAATAACTTTATATTTGGAACAACTCCGTATTTATTAAACAAAAAAAAAATGCATTGGCCACACAATAACCAAATTAAAAAATTAAAAGTAAAAGCATCAATGGTTGTGAAATTTATTTGCACATAAATGGCGTTAAGTCAGATAGCATTAAAGCTTCCAACTCTCGACTGCATTGTAAGCGGCAAGTTCTTGATATGTTTTTGTTTCATTATTTATTTGCAGGTGCATTTTTACAACTCTTTCAATTTGTAACGAGGCATATACGTGTGTAAATCGGACTCTTAATTCAACAAACATTTTAGGTGAGAATTCAAATTTAGTTTATAGTTAAAGTAATTTCGTTTTCTACTTAACTAAATGGACGAACTTAAGCTGGGTACTTACTGCACCTGACGTTCATGTCCGCAACCGATTTGTCGTACGATCTGTTGTACAAGAGAATGAGTGCCTTGCTTAACATTACGAAAAACATGAAAACATACAATATAGGCCTACATAGAGATAGTTTTTAAGAAATGTATTTCTTTGACATTTTGTATAGGCCTACATACTGGTATCTAGTTTAAAATTGTTTTATGAATAGGTGATGAGGATACAATTATTTCATCTGATGATGGAAGTGATTTTAAGATATCATGGGGAGAAGACGAGAAAGTTCTTACGGTGGAACCTGAAGCTGTCGTGCACTCAGCGGATGAGAAGTTCAGTCTCGAAATATCATCCACAGGAGGTAATTTTAGAAATACACAATAGCCATAATATATAATATTAAATTTCTTACTTTGTCTATTATGTAAGTTAATTAAATTATAAAGTAGGATTATAAGAAATGGGAATGGTAATGAGCATGAGAAAAATTAATTATAATAATAATGAAACCCCATTTGAAAATACATAATAGCGTGAAGTTTGGGGTTAAATATCAAACGAAATTTCGAATGCTGTTTTGCTTTAACCTTAATGATGATAATACTTAAAACATGCCTGTATAATTAAATCTATTGTTAGTTTCATCATAATTCATTATCAATAAAAATGTTAATTCAATATCAATAGTCTGTGCTTGGCAAAGACTTTTTTTTATGGAACTAAAATATGATTGTCTTATTTGATATAACATTGTATTTGAAGGTTTGGAACCTGGTGATTCAATGTTGTTTGGAGTGTTGTCAAGTGAAGATTTAGACAAGGAATATACATCCGATGCTACCGCAGATTACGTTCCATATATTGTTAATCCATTGTATACGATAGAACGAACACAGCGCCACCTACGAAAAAGGTTAGTAACATTTTACTGTCTATCAAGTAAACAGTTTTTTTTTTTTTTAATTGTAGGCACATTAGCCATAGATTGCAAATAACAACCTAAAGCTGGTTTTCCACTAGCCGAATTTTTCACTTCGCAAAAACTTGGATAGAAATGTGAGAACATGCATGAATCGACGCTTTCGATTTGCGCAAATGAATTCACCTTGTGAATTCATTGAAAACAGCCACTAGTCAAATTTATTTGTGCGAATCGAAAGCGTTGTTCATGCGCATGTGCTTCGCTTCAGCGAAACCAAAAATATGCGCAACTAATCAGAGCTCAGGAACTGAACTGACGCCTTCGATTTGCTCGAATTTTACTTACTGTAGACCTATGCCTTTGAGTAAGATGCATTGCCTACGGAAAAGTGAGTACCTGTTAGGCTCGAACCTAATTCTTTAATTACCAACTGCCAGATGCAATCTTATAAAATTATCCACTAGGGAGCCGAGTGTGCCTTGCATAGCGTTAGATCCAATGACTGGGCTAATGAAGTTGTTGTTATGCAAAATATAAAAACTGGCAATATTAGTGCTACAATTAAATTTTAAAAATTATGAACAATATATAAATTCATTATATTTGCAGAATTAAGGCTGTTTATGAACCAAGCTTTTATCTCTCACCGCTTGGTCAGGCTGAACTCAACGGACCATTGAACATCAAAGTGAAATTTAAGGCGTCTCCAGATTGGAAGCATCAATCTCCTTACCTGATCTATTGGAACAAAGGTCAGGACTATTAAGTTTATAATAAATGCTTGTTCCTGAGTGGAAATTACGTACAAATATTACAACATAGATTGATATGATAATGCAGTAGTATAACAGTATCTGATATAACCTCATTTGCTATTGATTCATGAGATTAGTAAAGATAGGCACTGACTGCGCCCAACACCCCCGTGGACCGCCGCATGAGAGCTTCGTACCATGTAGTAAGTGCCCGTCTTAATACAAAGATACTCCAGCACTCCTCCACGGGGTACACGTTTGCATAAACCACTGTGTATCTCTGTTTGATTTTTTACAAATTGGAGAGCCCGCACAGCCCTATATTATTATTATTATATTATTATATTATTATTATGTTATCTACTCTCTTTGTAATTGAGTGTGCTTGAGGACTTTTTAAGATTTGAATATGTTGGGCTGTTTTTAGAGGTAGACCTATTACATGTTTATATTGTATATTTTCCTGAAATTTAAATAACATTAAAAGATAATAGCTATCATAGTACTACCATTCTCTCTAACATAGACGAAGGTCAATGGGACGATGCTGGACTTACTTGTTCTGATGAATTTACTCAAGTCGACTATGAAGCAGGAGAGATATCAGTGATGGTAACCTGTTTTAAAATAATGAAACTAATACAAATTAAAACCATAGCACGATATATATATATATATATATATATTTTCAATATTCAATTATTTATTGCTACAGAAACAAACATCACAACGTACACAAGAAAATACAAATCGAATGTCCCATACATACAGTTACAGTATAATAATTTCAAATCGCTATCATACTACATAGCTAGCCAGATGTGATCTCCATTTTATAATTTCAAAAGGTCTGTGCTACCGATGGATCCTCTATCGAATCAAGTAATAGAAGACGGAGAGACACGAACGCAGATGACTTACAGTCTTATTTCAGTAAAGAAACACTCTTTACTATTGCACTTGTGGACGTGAATATATACAACGAACCACCAATAATATTGATGGAGGATGTGCTTAAAATGCATGAGGATGCAGGTAACTAATAAACTAACTTTACCTTGTCAAATATGGTAAAACATAGAGAGCAAATTAAAGAGATTGTTGTGTTTATTTCCACAAAATGCTATTGTGAAATTACAGGTTAAAACACACCGTCACTCAGATGAGATATTTATGAACGTTAATTCTTGTACACCATTGCCTGTGTAACGTTAATTAACACAAACACAATCCACTATAAGCGGGTATTGTCTGTCGGTAAACAGCTCAGGTCATCGTAAACGAGATATCAGAAAATCTCTATCTATTAACACACATTCGATTTATGGATATATACATATTATATTGTAATCGGTAAACTATTAAACAGATGGAATCAATTTTATATACACTATATATAT